AAAGTGAGTAGAAAATAGATTTCATAATAGAATGCTTATACTTAAAAATGCTGGGTTTTTTTTTTTTTGCTCTACTCACCACTTTAGTATGTGAAATGAGATAAGTTCACAATGTTTTTATCAAAACAGCTGGTTTGTCTTCTGAAGTTAGAGCTGTACAGAAGTCTCAAGTCAGTGAAAGTGTCTTTGGAACCAGCTCAAGACTCCTATGGTATGAAGCCGTCAGAGCTGTTACCTTGAATATCAGTTTTCTTTCCTGTCTATAAATGACAGAAAGTAACTAAAAATGTCCATCCTGGTTACTTCTTCTCTTTAAGGGTCCTCCAAACGCAAGAGGCCAAAGATGGCATCTGAATCATCTCAAGTTTCAGACGGTATGAACATTTTTTGGGTCATGCGAGGAGCACTGTGGAATGAAATATTGCATTATCTGATAAGACAATGATTCTTGGTTAATAGTGAGGTGACGTGTTCTTCTGCTGCAGAAGAATCAGACATGCTGACTCAACAGGCCTCAGCTACAGGACCATCACACAAGCTCAAAAGGACAGAGAAAACAGGTACTGCTCAGTTCTCAGACTTGAGTAGTGTTAATTACAGTAGATGTGGATTAACAACACCTTACAAATTAGATTACCAGATAAATTTTTGATTTATCAATAGCACTTGCATTAGAGAGAAGAAATAGTATGACGAAACTGCTGCTGTAGAATCAGTGCTGTGGAAATGCACATTACATTGTACTGACCAGTGAACAGCAGAAATTAGACATTAAAGCCAGTTTGTAATAAATACTTGTTCCAGAAAAGGCCAGGTTCCTTCTGCACCTTCTGACTGCACAACTGCACCGCTTGTCAGTCCGTATTCCAAATTATCTTAAGAGTATGACAAAAGAGCCGTTACCATTCCTTCCAATTCCAAAACTGCATGTTTTGCTGTATTATAAAAGATCCTCTGTGCATGCTGTGATGCATTCTGAATGAAGACCATTAATTCCAGTATGCACTTTTATACATTTGCATAGCCTCAGGCAGTATCATTTACACACACACACATACATATAT